AGGGTGCGTCTGAAGAGTTTGAGGATCTGATTCTTGTATCTTGCCAGGGTGTATGTGTTGACGACTAACCTTACCAGACCCGATTCCTGTATCTTGCCAGGGTGCGTCTGAAGAGTTTGAGGATCCGATTCCTGTATCCTTCCAGGGTGTATCTGTTGATGACTAACCTTCTCCGGACTCGATTCCTGTATCTCGCAAGGGCACGTCTGAAGAGTTTAAAGATTCGATTCCTGTATCTAGCCAGGGCACATCTACATAAAGAGTTTGAAGATCAACTCCTATAACAGGCCAGGTAATTATTTTCTTTCTCAGGTACGCAAGTTCTCGCTAAGGAAACTCTTACGCGATCGACACTTAGATGGCATCTATAAGCCTATCCCCACATACCAACAGTCTCCAAATGGCATCTATAAGCCCATTCCCGACAAAGTTCAGTCACACTTCCAGATGGCATCTATAAGCCCATCCTCCTATCCATCAGTCTCCAAATGGCATCTATAAGCCCATTCCCATCATCACACTGGTAACATGTGAGCGCAAATTTCTGGGCACTCTAGTGTTCAATCATCTTCCACCTACGGATTACGAAAGGCACGCCAGCCAATCTACATCCTCAGGTTTAAGAAGATTGAACAGGGGCAACTGTTGTACCCCAAAATTTTCCCTCCCATATTCTCCAAGATTTGTCAAGATCAAGCTTCAAAATCTCCCAAGGGTTGCACAGTCCAAATGCCTCCTAACATAGTCAAAATTAGGGTTTTGGTTCTGACAAAGAAATTGAAGTTTCCAAGGGTCCAAACAAGTCCCACATGCCCTTATACATTGTCAAGCATTCATATGCCAAGTTTCAAGACTCACATCATCAAATTGCACAGTCAAAAACCCTAAATGCTTCACAGTCAACTGCAGGGGCAAAATGGTCATTTGACAGTCAAAAGTCAAAATTTTTGGTCAACATCTTATTTTAAAGCCACAAACATCATTTGATCAATTCTTGATCATGATTCTCAAGGCATGGCTCAAAAAGTCTCAAGATGCAAAAGTTTCTATTTTTGGACAGTTGAAAAAGTCAACTGCAAATTGACCATGGCATAACTTCCACATGGTTCATCAGAAAAATTCCATTCAAAGCTCATTTTGAATAGAATGACATTTCATACAACTCATCTTCACACTTCAAGTCTAAGAAATGCTCTCACAAAAAGTTATTAATCTCAACATTATAGGTCATTTTCAAAAGTCAACAAAAAGACACTTTAAGTCAAAGACCATAACTTGATATTGGTAAATCAAAATGACATGGGACCAAAGACATTGGTTATAGGACTTCAAGACCTTTCCAAAATGTCCAAGAACATGATCAAAGCTTAAAAATTGAGCAAGATATGCCTTGTGGAAGTTGGGAAAGTTTTGGGAATTTTGAAAAGTCAACTTTGCTTCAAATGCCTCAAAATTGCTAATGGGCCTCAATTTCTTCCATGAATCATCACCCAAAAGCTATGCACGACCCATTAAGCTAAAAGGGAGTTATTTTCTTATTTTTAATTAACTAATTGAATTTTTAATCTTATTAATTCATTTAATTAAAATTAAATATGAGAAAAATACTAAACAATGGTTTTGAATCCTTTTATGCAGCAAATATGCCCATTATGAGCTCAAGATTTAGTGTGCCTTCTCAAGAGACAAAATCTCCCACAATTGGCAAGTTTCCATGGCAAAAAGATTTGAAAAAAGATGTGGAAAATCAAATATTCAAAGTCATAAATGGATGGATTTTGGGCTGGCTTTTTGACCTAGTTCTATTCATATACATGTGCACAATTGAAACCAAGGATATGAGACACAAAAGCTGCGCCCAAGATCAAGAACAAAAACTTTCAATTTTGGACAAAAAGTGAAAAACTGTTTTGGTACCTAGAGCTCGTTTCAAGGCTCCAAAAGTATTCCAAAAGCTTGCTAAGACATCTAGGAAGCATTTGCAATTGAAATCAAGCTTCCACGCACAGAGAATCGGTAGAACGACATCAGACTTTTCATGAACTTTTCAATTATCGTGTTTCCATTTACATGCATTTTTCATACGTTTTAACTATTGATTTATACTAACATGAATATCCTGAAGCTATTGGTGTCCTTGAATTGAATTAATAATGCCTGTATCCAAAGTTGCCATGAACGTTTCTTAGGGTTTCAGAGCTCCAGATTTGGGGCTTTTCACGTCTGGAAAAATTGGCCATTCAAACCAGTACCGTTGAAATCAGAGCATCCATACGAAACAATTGGACTAGTCGCGCTCAATTTATGATACAACATGCCATATTCGCTATTATTTGCAGGTGCCATTTAGTGGGGGTTTAAAACCCCCGCTATCTATTTTGTTATCTTTAGGAAAACGAAGAAGATGCTGGCGTGGCTTGATGTGGTTGGTCAGTTTGAATGATTGGCGCGTTTTTGATTTGTTCAGCATAGTATTGCTTTTTCCATTATATTAATCATGTTCCACTAAACTAACAAAGAAACGCACTAGCTCAATTGGTTGTTGCGTTGGCATGCAGGTACTGGGACCTGGGTTCGATTCCCAGGTCCCCTTATATATTTCATAGTTTTTACATTAACATGTTCCAGCGCAGCACTCATCCAGTGATCCACCATATGCCCAACGCTTGTGCCTGCCAAGTGTCCCAAGGGATCAATCCAAAGGCCATCACGTGAATTCCACCATGCACGCTGGTCAATCATTCCTCACACAACCACAAAAAGTCAAAAGGGCTTGGGATTCTTGGGCCAAGACTGCTTTCAATACACCTCTCAATTGGGTCAGCCACCCCCATGGTTTGCATATTTTTGTTTTTTTATTTTAATTCTCCTTTTTATTCTTTTATTTGTTTTATTGTTTTATTTAATTCTACCAAAATATAATTTTCAAAATAAAAATACAGAAATCATAAAAATAAAAAATATGTTTTATTTAATATTTAATGCATTAATATTTTTGTAAATAAATCTTTTAATAATCAATTTAGTAAAATTAGGTTTATTTTAATCTTTTCTTAAATAACTAAAATATGTAGAAATTAGGTTTTTAGCATTTTTATTCTTTTTGCTTAATAAATAATTTTCTTATTACCATTATTATCAATTATTAATTATTTTGTAAATAAACATGTCATTAAATAATTAGTATAAATTAGGTTAAAACTTGAACATTTTTTCTTTAAATAATTAAAAAAAATATTTAGAATTAGGGTTTCTTTCAATTTTGACTTTCTTTATTTCATAAATACCAAAAACCATAAAAAATAACTTCTTTTCTTTATTTGATAATTAATTAACTTTCAATTTCATTTAATTTCTTTAAAGGGTCCAACGACCTCGAGCATTCGATTCTAATTTCTTTTCGCGCGTTTGTCCTTATTTTTTGTTTCAAATATTTATGTAATTTCCCAAAGCCTTGTAATAGTAATTAGGGAATTTATTTATTTTCCGCATTTTATTAAAAAACGGGTCTTTGTTAATTTGGTGATGTATAGACCCGCGCCTTGTAATAGCGTAGGACTTTATTTTCCGTACTTTAATTTCCGCACCTTTAAACTGCTAATCACATGAAAGAATGAATGGCCCAAATAAAATCAAAGCGTAGATCACCAAATACATGATCAAGATAAAACATAACTGAAAACAATACACAAATTCACACACCACTCTTAGGGTACACCTCACTGTTGCCTTGCCCCTCGAAAGGTGGTCGTCGAGTATAGGACGTTTTAGTAAGTCCTTATGTCCATGAACATGGCATAAGGGTAGCTTCTAAGGTGTCCTACTATTGCTTCGGTGACCACACTGTCCCTAACCCTCTAATTGACCCGAACACCTCCAACGGTGGTGCTACCTACCTCTCAATGGTGGGATGGCACTACCTTAAGGACATTTACACAGCCTAATTCCTTAGGGTAGGTGGATGACTCGTAGATACTTGCTCTAATTCAAAACAAATCAAAAACTCTTTTCACACCGACACTTTTCAAAAAGCTTTCAAAAACAATTTTTCAAACACTCTTGAGAACTGATACAAGACTCGATCTGAAACTTTCAAAGAAACTTTTTCAAACTCACTCACGATTGAAAAGCAAACACTTTTGAAAACACAAATGAGCAAGTATCTAAGAGCCCATGGATAACCATGGATAGAAAGGGTGCTAACACCTTCCCTTTCTATAAATCTACCTCCCGAACCGAGAAACTATCTCATAAGGAATTTTGCTGTGCTTTTGTCCTGTCCATGTTGGAGAAAATAAAAGACGATGGCGACTCTTGCTTCCGTGACATTTCGCGAACCAGCGTTAAACAGTCAGTTCCAGATCCACCGATCACATTGGAGTTATGCAAATCTTTCCCTTATAATGTTAGTGTTTCTTTTATGATGGTTGTTACTATCATTGGTACTCTTAATTTTTAAATTCTTTCATTAACATTCTTGATAATTATATCCTCATTAAATGAATTTTATGAAAGGTTGTGATTTTGAATTAAAATCCACCCCTAAAAATCAACAAGCCATGAGCATATATATATGGCAGAGTTTATGAAATGTTGACTCGAAATGTGCTTTTGAGTATTTTTTTCTTAATTTGATTGAATATATTACTATATATTTATTTATAAAAGTTGAATTCACATTTTATTTAATATTTTTTATATTTGTTTTCGTAAATAACTTTCTATTCTCTCTTCAACAACAAAATCCCCCCCCCCCCCCCCACGCCGACTATCCTTCATCTTCCTAAAATCTAAATTTTGTGTTTTATTCATGTAGCTAAGCTACTTGATGGTGTGATGATGTCTCTCCTAAGCACCACCATTTCACTCTTGGGTTGTCCGACGTGGTTTCTCTAGCATTTCTTTGGTGTTTTTAGGCGATAGTTGATCTTCTGAGGTTAACTCTTGTTCCACCCTCTGTCGTATCTGGGTTGGTCAACTTTGGTTCTTTTTTACTACGGTTAGGTTCTAGCGATGATCACTTCAGGAAGATCACCAACTGGGTACTTCAGATTCGGAGTCTTCGTCAACGGTTGATTTGTGTTGCAACACGGTTGCAGTGTTCTCTTCGATGGATGCTCCAACGATTGTGAAAGCTCCTTCTCCGATGGATCTTTTGCAAGTTTGTATTTATGGTGCTGAGTTGGTATCCCGATCTTTTGATTCTTAGATTGGCTTCAGATCTGTTGAGATCTACAACTTTAAAGATTTTAGGGTTGTCTCTCTGCGCTTACACTAACTTATTATCCGCATCAGTCTTCGGGATTGATGCAAGGTTGGTTTCTTATTCGTAACATTCAATTTGATGTTGGATTGTTGGACTCGAAATAGTCGTTTTGCTTGCTGATTTTTTTAGAGGTTGTTGATTCGTGAATTAGGTTGTGTTGACAGTTAATGTATACACCATGTTGAAAAATGAATGCTCATACTATACTCTTTCTTTTGCTATTTAGTTTCGCGCCCGTAAACGAGTTTGCCATATTGTGTTTGTCGTATGTGCACTTTTACTTTAGTTGTTTAAAATATAAAAACCACTTTTATTAGTTTTAATTTATTTTTATACCCTTTCGAGTTGATTTTGTGGTTTAGCTGAGTTTAGTTTATGTCCCCTCAGTCCTTTATAATTTCTTTTTTTATTTATATATTTAGCTTTATTAAAAAAACTTACTTTCTACTTACCAAATATCAAGCAATAAACACTTAAAATAAAAAGTAAATAAGTCCTTTATAATTTCTTTTTTTATTTATATATTTAGCTTTATTAAAAAAACTTACTTTCTACTTACCAAATATCAAGCAATAAACACTTAAAATAAAAAGTAAATAATAAAAATATAATTTTATTTTCCATTTATAAATTTCATAATAAGTGAATCAGGTTTTTGACATTGCTCATTGATATAATCTTAATCCGCATTCTAGTACCATAAATAAAATAAAAACGACTCTTTCATGAAGTTCTTCAAAATTTCTTCAGGATCTAATCTTATTGTAGAATCATTGAATCCTGTAAATAATTATTAAAAATAAGTTAAAATAATAATTAAAAGGATTAAATATATTTTTAAAAAATGAATTTTATTCCTTATAAAATTATTTTTACATGTAGTTTTAATCCTTCTCTAAAGATTAAAACTGTATGCAAAACTAATTTTATAAGACTAAAACTCGAATTTAAAAAGAAAACATATTTAACAATAATTAAAAACACAACATTCTACTGGGTATGAATGAATTAATTAAAAAAGGGGAAGTGAAACATACTTGCTACAATCAGTTGAAGCGCTAATTGGAAATGACAATTGAATGTGACAAAGTTGAGGAAGGTGAGCAGCCCTGTCTGATTTATATGCAAATTTAGTTGAAGCATCTTTAAGACATTGGCAAACACTTCTCTTAACAGGAGTTGTGTTTGCCTTATTGAACAAATTAGTAGCTCCAGTGCAACAGTCAGCAGATGGTGTTGGTGGAAGAGAACCCTCTAGAAAAGGTAGACATGGCAACATAGATGAAATTGCCTCTGAACATGTTACGTCATCGATTTCACTTGCATGTAATGTTGTCATTATCATGCATAAAACCATTACACCAATAGTTTTCTGGCTTGACATCTTCATTACAATATGATTCTAGCTTTGGTAATCCTCTTCAATTTATAGGGAGAGATGTTACCTTTAAAAATAATTTAATAAGATTAAAACTTTTTTTTATATAAACTAAATATTAAAATTGAGATATTTATAAGGAAGAAAAACATATTTAATTATAATTAAAAACATTGGGTATGAATGAATGAATTAATAAGAAAAGGGGAAGAGAAACATACATTTGCATACTCTGTTATGGTCTGGATTGGCGAACTGCGAAGAAGGCTTATGCCTTATTGATGCCTCTATTAATTGACAATTTTTAAGATGAGAGTTCTACTATGTTTCTAAGTTGGGAGTTCTGTTCCGTTTTTAAGTTGTGAGTTCAGCTCCAATGGTACCACATGCATGTGCATTGTAATTGAGTCGCATTTGATGTTGCATCTTGAGTTGTGGTGAAGATAGATTTATTGTTGCTTTATGTTGTTGACTTGTTGTGACAGGTATAATCTAAAAGTTGTGAATTAGTTGTTATGTCGTGTTGATGTTTTGTTGTGATTAAATTTGTTTGTAAGTTGTGAAGTGGTGACTTTATATGATCTGATCTAATATATTAATTATCATACTTTATATTATATCGTTAGATATTTCACCACTTCTGTTTGAATGTTGCCCTCTGTTGGTAACGTGCAGGTAATCAAGAAGAATAGTTGTTACCTTTATCAGTTCGAGTCGGTGTTGTCACTCTGATACGTAGCACTCGGGGGGATGAACGTTTGATGTTTAGTTGTTGATCATTATTTCAGTTGCTGAATTTTTAAGTTGATTACATGAAATAATTGTTGTCTTGAGATTGTTTTAGTTGAATAAAAGATGTTAAGTGAACTAAAGTTGAGTATGTAGATTTCGCTGCTTATCAATAAAAAGTTGTTTGATTTTAAAGAATAAATCAGGTTGTTATCGGTTCATCCGAATTAAGTGTTATGTATTTGTTTTATATGCGATTAAATGAAGTTTGATTTTAAGTTGAAAATGTAGCATCCTATTTATGTTGAACTCTGATTTTATTATTATCCGCCGAGTAGAAATAGGGTGTTACATGGTGGGGTCAACATTGGGTGGCACAAGAATTTATTGATACATTCCAGGCTCCTCAAACTGCTGGACAGTGTTATTGGCCACACCGTGAGACGAGGAGGAGGAGGTTAGTCTATTATGTGTGTCAACTTGCTCGTGAATGACAGTTTCATTGTTGTTGAGGTTGTCACGGTCAGTGGAGACGGGGAAAACATCCTTGTTGGTGTTAACGTTGTTGTTTTAGCTGTCCATGATGATCGACATGTGTAGATGAACTTGCTTTAGTCCTTAGGTTTAGAATAAGACGGGGAAGCAAGAGGTTCCCACAGACAGCACCACTGGTCTTATCGGGATCGGAAGGACCTTCGGTGGCCTATAACACTTGGACTTATGTGATTGTTGAAGTGAATGAGGGGTGTACTTGGAAGGTACTCTGGTGCCAAAGTAAGGTTTTGAGCAAAGAGAGCAAGTACAGAGTGAGAGAGAGTAGAATTAAATACCTAATCCTCTAGTGAAAGAGGATATTTATAGCCCTCGTCGTTGATTCAAGGTCCCCATTTTGGGTTGGATTCCCAATCCAAAATAGAGTCTAACAAGATCCTACATGGATAGAGGAGACCATTACGTGGTCTTTATCTTGGTGAACTGCCCCGTGATCTTCGTAGGTAGAAGACTCTTTCTTTACGGGGGCAGGATGATTATGTGATATTTGAAGAGTCGTTGGCCATGTGTCCTCGACGGGCATATGGGAAATACGTCCTCGACGAGAAAAATCAATGGAGGACCAAGTGCAGGTCCAGACCATAACAAGTTGTTGGGACTTCCTCGCAACATCGTTGAGCTGGACCTGTTTGACAGAGGACCAAGTGCGGGTCCAGTTCACAAAGAGTTGTTGGGCCTTCCTTGATACAGAGTTGGGATAGACCTTGCCAAACGACAAACCAAGCGCAAGACCAGTCCAAAACACTCATTATATTTAGTTCAAAAATAAATATAAGTAATTTATATGGCCAACATGGAAAGGTCCCAATGATGGAGTTATGCAAATCTTTCCCTTATAATGTTGGTGTTGCCTTTATGATGGTTGTTACTATCATTGGTCCTCTTAATTTTTAAATTCTTTCATTAACATTCTTGATAATTATATCCTCGTTAAATGAATTTTATGAAAGATTGTGATTTTCAATTAAAATCCACCCCTAAAAATCAACAAGCCATGAGCATAAAAAAATATATATGGCAGAATTTATGAAATGTTGACTCAAAATGTGCTTTTGAGTATTTTTTTCTTCTTAATTTAATTGAATATATTATTATATACTTATTTACAAAGCTTAAATTCACATTTTATTTAATATTTTTTTATATTTGTTTTCGTAAATAACTTTCTACTCTCTCTTTAACAACAAAATCCTCCGCCGCCGACTATCCTTCATTTTCCTAAAATCTAAATTTTGTGTTTCATTCATGTAGCGAAGCTACTTGATGGTGTGATAATGTCTCTCCTAAGCACCACCATTTCACTCTTGGGCTGTCCGACGTGGTTTATCTAGCATTTCTTTGGTGTTTTTCGGTGATTGTTGGTCTTCTGAGGTTAACTCTTGTTCCACCCTCTGCCCTATCTGGGTTGGTCGGTGTTGGTTCTTTTTTGCTACGATTTGGTTCTAGCGATGATCTCTTCAGGAAGATCGCCAACTGGGTACTTCAGATTCGGAGTCTACATCAATGGTTAATTTATGCTGCAACACGGTTGCAGTGTTCTCTTCGATGGCTGCTCTAACGATTGTGGAAGCTCCTTCTCCAATGGATCTTTTGCAAGTTCGTATTTATGGTGCTGAGTTGGTATCTCGAGCTTTTGATTCTTAGATTGGCTTCAGATCTGTTGAGATCTACAGGTTTAAAGATTTTAGGGTTGTCTCTCTGTGCTGACACTAACTTACTATTCGCATCAGTCTTCGGGATTGATGCGAGGTTAGTTTCTTATTCGTAACATTCAATTTGATGTTGGATTGTTGTACTCGAAATAGTCGTTTTGCTTGCTGATTTTTTTAGAGGTTGTTGATTCATGAATTAGGTTGTGTTGACAGTTAATGTATACACCATGTTGAAAAATGAATGCTCATACTAGACTCTTTCTTTTGCTATTTAGTTTCGCGCTCGTAAACGAGATTGCCATGTTGTGTTTGTCGTGTGTGCACTTTTACTTTAGTTGTTTAAAATATAAAAACCACTTTTATTAGTTTTGATTTATTTTTATATCCTTTCGAGTTGATTTCGTGGTTTAGCTGAGTTTAGTTTATGTCCCTTCAGTCCTTTATAATTTCTTTTTTTATTTATATATTTAGTTTTATTAAAAAAACTTACTTTCTACTTACCAAATATCAAGCTAATAAACACTTAAAATAAAAAGTAAATAATAAAAATATAATTTTATTTTTCATTTATAAATTTCATAATAAGTGAATCAAGTTTCTGATATTGCTCATTGATATAATCTTAATCCGCATTCTAATACCATAAACAAAATAAAAACTACTCTTTCATGAAGTTCTTCAAGATTTCTTCACGATCTAATCTTATTGTAGAATCATTGAATCCTGTAAACAATTATTAAAAATAAGTTAGAATAATAACTAAAAGAATTAAATATATTTTTGATCTCTATAAAATTAACAAAAATAGTTTTAAATTTTTATAAAAAAAAATGAATTTTATTCCTTATAAAATTACTTTTACATACATGTAGTTTTAATCCTTCTGTAGAGACTAAAACTGTATGCAAAAATAATTTTATAAGACTAAAACTCGAATTTAAAAAGAAAACATATTTAACAATAATTAAAAACACAACATTCTAGTGGGTATGAATGAATGAATTAAAAAAGGGGAAGAGAAACATACTTGCTACAATCAGTTGAAGCGCTAATTGGAAATGACAATTGAATGTGACAAAGTTGAGGAAGGTGAGCAGCCCTATCTGATTTATATGCAAATTTAGTTGAAGCATCTTTAAGACATTGGCAAACACTTCTCTTAACAGGAGTTGTGTTTGCCTTATTGAACAAATTAGTAGCTCCAGTGCAACAGTCAGCAGATGGTGTTGGTGGAAGAGAACCCTCTAGAAAAGGTAGACATGGCAACATAGATGAAATTGCCTCTGAACATGTTACGTCATCGATTTCACTTGCATGTAATGTTGTCATTATCATGCATAAAACCATTACACCAATTGTTTTCTGGCTTGACATCTTCATTACAATATGATTCTAGCTTTGGTAATCCTCTTCAATTTATAGGCAGAGATGTTACCTTTATATGGTCACAAATCAGTACGTTATTATTTTATTTTTATTTTTATTTAAATGGTCATTCATCCTATTAAAATTATTAAAAGCATTTAAAAAGTATTTATGTAAAGATTAATTATTTGATCAGATTTATTAATTATTCAATAAATTCCTTTTTTATATATAAAGTAATATTTTTGATAATAAATATTAAAGGATGAGATGGAGTAGTTGTTAAGAAAGAAATGGGTTATGTATGTTCTTTCCATTCCTTAAAATATATAAAAATATTGAAATACCAAGAAAATAAAATTTTCAAAACTTATGAATATTTAATTGTGAAAAGCTATTGAATGCTTTATTATTTTTGGAAATTTCATTTCATTTTACGAAATGAAATGTTTTTTTTTTAAATTTAATTTAGAATAAAAATTGACCATTATACTGTAAATTTAATTTTTATTTTATTTTTTATAATAGTAAATTTTAGTTTATTACTCAATGTGAATCTTATTAACTTTCAAAATATGTTTTTTTTATCATAAATTTTTTTAATTTATTAAAAACATAAAAAATATCTATTTATTAAATAGTTTGAGTTATGGATATGATTTGCGTTACAAAGCCTCTTTGATTTAGGTTATGTTAGATAAAATAGCGATTAGCAGATAAGTTAATTGATAATTTATTATTTATAACTAATAGTTGATTATGGCTAGTTTATAACTAATGAATGATAATTTATAGTTAATAAATTAATTGAAGTGTTTGATAAAATTAATAATTTAATTAATTAATAAATTAAAATAATATAAAAGATATTTAATATATAATTATTTTATTATAAATTAAAATGTATTTTAAAAGATAATAATGGATTTTAATTAAAATAATTAGGACAAAAATGAAAAAAAAATAATTAACTATAACTTATAAGATAAAACATTAATTAAAATAGCCTCTAAAAAATAAATTATAAATTAGTAAAATAAGTTATAAATTGGGATGTTATAAATAATTAAAAAACTATTATCAAACAAGTCATATATTATCATATAAGCTTAAAAGTAATAACCTCAAAAAATGTCTAACCGTATAACCTTATAGGTTGGGATGTAAACAAATAATTGGCTTTTTATTTTGTTTTAATTTAGGGCTTAATTGATTTTTAAAGTCAATTTATAAATTATTTATACAGTCAATCATTCTAAATAACAAAGGTTTAAAAAAAATATTGTATTCAAAGTTACAAGAAAAATTATTTATATCGATGTGCACAGCCAGAAGTTGATATTTTATCATATTTTATTAAGTAAGTAAGATGTTTTATCTTATTTTTTTTTTCTAATTTGTGATATCTATTTGGGGGACAATTTATATTTTCCATTTTTTTGAAAAAATAATTTAAAATTTATTTTGGCATGAATTGAAATAAAAAGATTAAACTACATTTTTAGTAATTTAATGGTTAGAATTTTATCTTTTAAAGTAAAAAAATTAGATGTCGCATTTAAGTAATTAAATATTTTTGCATAATTAACAAGTAAGTTGGCTTAACGAAACAAACATTAAACTATGTATTATCTAATTTGAAGAAAGATTTTTTTTATGATTAAAATAAAATATCAAAAGTTTTAAATTAATATTTTATTTATATATGTTTTCAGTTAATACTTTGTTGTTTAAAAGTAGTTTTTATTATTTTATGATTTTATTCAACGATGGTATTATTTTATATTTTTTAGTTTTAAAAACAAATTGTTTTTATTCAGGAGGATATTTGTAGCCTTTGTTTGGAGCATGTTGAAACCATTGAACATATATTTTTTTCAATGTAAGAACACTGGTAGGATAGGGAAAGAAATTCTAAAATGGATGGAGGTTCAACACATTCCCCTTGCCTGGCAAGAGGAGATTGACTGGGTCATTACTCAAACGAAAAGGAAAGGGTGGAAAGGGGCTCTACTCAAACTTGAATTTACGGAAACCCTCTATGATATTTGGTGTCATAGGAATTCTATTATCTTTAATACCTTGGTTACAAAGAAAATAGAGGAGGATATTATTGAGAATATTATATATAGGGGATGGTATAGTAAAAAACTAAGAAAGCATATAGATGTGCTTATACCGTAGATACTAGTCATTTTTGCTTGCTGGATCTTTTGATCGCACTTTGTACTTAATCGTTTTTTGAATTAATACATATAATTTTGATTCAAAAAAAAAAACAAATTGTTTTTAAAAGGCGATAATGTAACACATAGACATGGCAACGGATGGGTCAGGAGCAGGTTTAAGTATATTCAAATCTGCGTCTGTCATTAAAATTTAGATCGGTCTCTGCCCCAAATAAATTCGGGGCTATTATTTATTTCTCCACCTCTGTCTCGTAATAAGAAACGGGTTTTTCCATATCCGTCTCCACATGCATAAATTTTAATTTTTTTTAAATGTATATTTTTTTCAGTTAAAACAAAAATTATAAAATTAAATTAAATAATTAATTATTTTAAAATGTTTTTTATGTTTGATATTTTTATTTAAATTGTATTTTCAAAAAAATAAATAACAATCTTAATAAATATGATATTGTAATATTAAAATGTGTAAATGAGTAATAAATATATTAAAAATAAATGAAACAAATTAAATTTAATTGACGGGTGTTGGGCGGATACTAGCATTCTCCACACCCGTCCGGTACCTATAAATAAAAACCGAGTTTTTTATGCTCTAATTAAATCGAATTTTTTCTATTAATTTTGACGTGGAGGAGGCTGGTGTGTGACTCAGTATATAATTTAAAAAATTAATGTATTCTTGTAATGATTATTTACTCTATAATTTGTTTTATACATGAAGTATAAAAATTATAGCATATTGTTTTAGTTAAATCTAAGATTTATCTATTTTATTGATGAAAATAAGATCTTTGGTCTTTTATTATAAAGATATTATTAATCAATTGATGGGATGATTAACAAATAACTATCGTTTAAGTATTTAGTTTAGGGAAGCTCTCATTATGATGACGTGTTGTCCTACCACAACTTTCTAATTTTCAATTATTTTTCTAAAATTTATATCTTATTATGACTTTAATTTTCATCTTTTTACTAAAACTATTTTTTAATTTTTAATTTTATTTATATTAAATTTTTAGTTCTTACTTTAATAGCTCTAAAATAACTATTCAATTTTATAAACTTATATAATAATAATAATAATAATAATAATAATAATAATAATAATAATAATAATAATAATAATAATAATAATAATAATAATAATAATAATAATAATAATAATAATAATTGATCGTACCTGACTAGAATGGACCGTCACAACTTACGTCGAGCAGAAGTCGAGAGTGAAGTGGGGGTACCTACAAGACGCTCTGATATCAAAGCAAGATTTAGAATGATGCAAGCAAGTAAGAGTGAGTAAGAAGTGATCAATACCCGACCCTCTCTAATGAGAAGGTATTTATAGTCCCCAACGTTGGGCCAAGGTCCCCTCATTGGGCTGGGCATGCAGGCCCAAAGTGGAGATTGTCAAGTTCTACGTGAGTAGTGGGGACCAGCACGTGATCCGCTACCTGGATGGATTCTTCCGTATGACCAGGAGAATATATATGCAGGTTTTTCGGGGTCAAGTGGACTCTGTGATGTCCAGAGGCATTGATAGTCGGTCCTACGAGGAGGATGCTCGTGAGGTACTTCTACCCATCGGGCAGGATCCCCGTCTGCCCGAGGCCGTGCGAGATGAACAACCTTGACCGTGGAGAAGCCAGGTGGATACTCTCGAGGTCCTCTTGCCCGATGATACACCTTCTCGCATCTTCCTAGGTCCATTTCCATGTGGCGAAGCAACGTCCTCTCAAAGAGTGGGGATTATTGCCCGACGCCATCGAGGGCTGACCTGGTCAGCTGGTCTTAGACGACGCGTTTGGGTTGGACCTTATATGGACTTGGGCCAAGAGCAGGCTCAGTCCAGAACTGGAGCCCCCCAAGTCGTTGCTCCTGATGAAGGAGTTATGACTTAAGTCCACCTTTGCCTTTTCGAGGAGCGCATAAGTCAATCGAGGATCTTTTATTGTATTGATGGGAATCGTTATTGGTACGCGTTAGTACTCAAGCAGAAGCCAGAATAGGCTCGATGGGGGACATTTTAGTTGTTCATCGACTCGCGGGGAAATAAAACCTGACAGGGAGCAGCCACGTGGCGTGTCCTTTGGGACTGTACTGGTGGTCTAGGGAATAGGGGTCATTATTACCTGAGCGCGTAGATGTCGAGGAGAAGGGCGGTTGGTGGGCTGCCCAACGCGACGCTTCGAAATCCACGTCAACTCTATATATAGCGCCTTAGGGCCCACTTCTCACATTTTAATTTTTCGCGCTCTCCACTATATCTGTTATCAACACCTTCTTCTACCTTTCTTAACTGTCACCATCGCCGCTAAGTCTGTCGCGTATTCTCCATCTACTATGTTCAAGTAAGTGTTTTCCGCAATAATCGTTTGTTTAGATTGGCTTTATTGATGATTGTTTATACAATTTTGCAACCGAGGGTTTTTGCTCGGGATATTCATGTACTCATGCGTAATATTTGCGAGTGGACCCGTGATATTAATCTTTTGCCCGACAAATTCATGAATTTACCTGTGGCCTTCATCTATCCCTCGCGAAATTCGTGAATTTGCCCAAGAAATTTATGTACTCCCCGAAAAATTCACGAGTTTGTTCGGAAAATTCATGCTTTGTCCGCAGTATTTAAGGATATGCTCGTGATATTTATCATTTGCCCGTGGTGCTCACGGGATACGCGTTTGTCATTATAATCGTTGTGTGGTCTCACGAGATTTGCATAAGTTCCACGCACTGATTGTGGGTCGTGCATGTTCCTCGCTGCACGAGTGAATGTCAACTTGGTTTGGGCGCAACCATCCCCTTTCGCCT